GGAGTGGACTGACAATATAGGGATTTTTTTTTTCTTTGGTTTGTAATGTTAAAATAGTACAATAAAACCTGCAGAAAGGACAAGGAGAGGAAGGTGGCTACCGTGGCTGAGGTAGGAAGGGGTTGGTAGTGAATTCTGCAAAACTGGCCTGTAGCTCTGGTGAATTTATTTTTTTTTTTCCCATGGAATGAAATTTTGAAGACTCTCAGAGTAACCTATTTCCCAGAAGTAGCATTGTTATATATCAATGGTGAAATAACAGATAATGACCTCCACTGCAGAAATAAGAAAAGATGACCTTGCTACTGATGAAAACAATAGCATGATAAGGCTGCAACAGATGCAGACTGCTGTGGGGAATACAGCATTGTATGCACTTCTAAGAGTGTGTTTCAGAAATTGTCTGCTGATTACAAGCTATTGGAGCAAAAATCACACACATCCTCATTAATAACTCCAGGGCTTACAGTCCATGGTCTGGAAAAACAGCTTGCAAAATGCCATTTTTCAAGGCATTCTATGCCTGAATGACAGGAACACACAAAATTAGCCATGGTAGTTTTCTGTTTCAAGACTTGTAAAATATTTACCACCATGGGCAAACTCCTGTGTGTAATGCCTACAGAACAAGCCTTTAAAAACAGCCATTTATAGCTGAAATACCAATCAAAGGCATGCTTCGGTGCACACTCTATTGAATACTTGGGTTGACATTAACATGGAATGAGTGTGTGTACAACAAGCATATGAAATTTCAGCCCAAATATTGAAAGATGACTTATTAATGAAAGGGTTACTTAATCTACTTAAAAACCTCTGACAACAGAGCAAATACTGCTGGCTCCCTTCTGTATTGTGGGATTGGAAGAGACATAGGGTCACATTTCTTATTTCTGGAGCTCTTCCAGACACTGTAGGTGGTTGGAAACTATGGGTATGTTTTCCAAAAACTGTCTTTGGAGCATTAAATCACTTGGCTTATGACACTGAATCTGTCATGTGCCAGTCACCGTGGCCCAGAACTAGTCTCAATTCCACCTGAACCACTTCTGCTACTTCATGAAGCTGTCTATTTTTTGCAGGACTATAAAACACGCTTTTGCAAGTTACTTGAATTTCTTGGTAGTATCACTTAAATACAGTCTGAGGATTTAAAACTGTGTGTCACACAGTAGTGTTTTACATACCAGGGTGTTAGCAATTGACTTCATTTGTGTAGAGAATAGTCATCAGGCTTATATCTTAGCAGCATCCAAATCAGATGCACAGCTTTCCCACAGGATGTTTTCTGTGGTAATGCTAAAAATAGGCATTCACAATAGGACTATATAGTGGAATAACATAATATACCTGAAATCCAGGAAAGATGCCATTTCCCCGAGCAAACACATAGAATAGGGCAATCACATTTCATAGGTGAAATCCTGTCCTGGAGAATCAGTTCAAAAAGGAGCCAGATGAGAGTCTTTGTTTCCATTATGAACAACGTTAATGACTAGTATTTCTGCAGAAGAGAGGGAAATAGAACAAGTATCGGGGAAGAACAGAGGGGGCATTTCACAGAAATTGGAAGAATTTGCACTGTAATTCAGAAGAACTACCCTTAAGGCAAGATGATTGTTACTGGTCTATATCTACTTGGCCATCTTTGTGCTAAGTCTGCAAATCCTTTGGCAGGGGGACTTTGTCTTTGCATGTACAGCTTCTAGCACAGTAAGCCACTGGTCCCAGAGAGATCTCGAGGGCAGAATACAAATGGGACCAGCAATCAAGTGAGGCTGTGACTTTGCCCTCAGTTCTGAGCCGGAGATTCATTGTGCTCATCTCTGGACTCAAGTGACCATACTGTTGTTTTTTGCCATCAGATTTTAACCCCGTGGTCCTTAATGCTGGTGTGACTGGTGTTGGTGTGTAGTGGCAAGTGTAGGTGTTCACCAGGAGAGGTGAGATGCAACAGGGACTATCCAGACTGACTTGAGCCCAATAAATAGACACTTCCAAGATGGCAATGCAGGGTACATTTTTGAGATGGAGGATGAAGATCTTTTCCTCCTAATTCATTTCCAGCATTGTAATACATTGCTAGTGAAAAGGCTTGGTTCTGCTGGTGCTTTCTGTGCTGTTCAAGGTTTCTCTGAGTTGATGACTTGGTGGATATGGAGTGATCCCCAGATCTCTGTCCATGCCCAGGAGTCACAGAGAGCAGGAGTAAGCAATATTGGACTATGGCAACTGTCAGTTAGAAGCCTGTTCCCATGTGAAGGTGGTTAATTGTTACTATACCACAGGTTTTGTTTCTAAAACTTTCTGAATTTATTATTTGCAGTCAGATCTCACAAAGCAACAGAATGGATTCAAAATCACCTTGAAAACATTAGAGGATAACTTACTTTCTCGACTGTCATCAGCATCTGGGAACTTCCTGGGAGATACAGCGTTGGTGGAGAACTTGGAGATCACTAAACAGACAGCTACAGAAATTGAAGAGAAGGTATAAAGACACTAATAGTCTAGAGAAAAGCATGTGTGTGATGTTATCTTTAAGGATTTTTGGGTGGAACGTAACTTCATTACTCTGTTCGTCTCTGCCCCATCTGCTGAACAGAGAATAGAAAATGGTATAAATTGAAGTGCTCTGCATTCTGGACAGCTTCAGGCCGTTTAGTTCTTTGGAGCTTTTGTATGTTAAATGCCCTATTTAAGCCCAAGAGAAAACATCAGTGACTGATGTAAGGACAATGAAATTTACACACTGTATCAAGGTAGTTTTAAACTGTTCCAGGATAATCCTGAATACATCACATTTCCTCAATTAAGCTGGATATTAGTACTGACTGGGGACTGGAATCTGTTGAGTTTGCGATATTGCATAAATCTGCAAGAACTTGGGTATTTCATATCCTTCCATTTCTTAGAGTGTAAACCAGCATTTGTATTAGCTGTGCGGTGCCAGCATTGCCTCCTACCTAGTTCACCTTGCTGCCTAGATGAGGGTTAGCTAAATGCACAGGGATTTTCCCCTACCACTGGGGGAACTTGAGGAGTGTGGTTGTCATGCCAGGATTGTGACAGGACTCCTGTACGGCCATTCTCAACTGCTTCCCTCCGCAGTCCTCCCATCTTCACAACCCACACTTGTCCTCCTCCAGCCCACTGGCCCATGCTGCCTGGATAAGTTGCCACATGCTGGGGTCAGGCTGGAACTGCATCTCACTTCCCAGTATTGTAGCCCCAGCAATCAAGGAACTAAGTGATTCTCCACATTGAAAATTGGAATTTTTTCTGCTAGTCGCCATTTGTAGTACATTAGATGCATTCAGCTCCCTAAGGAGGGTTTGCATGAACCCCCAAAGGGGATGTTGAAGGGATGTTTTGATCTGGCAAGCTTAGCATCTCTCTCTTGAAGTAGATGTTCTTGAAGTGCTTCAATTTCTAAACAAGTTGTGGTTATAAAGCTGATCACTGCCAGCTCTGTGGCAACAGGGATGAATTTTTGAAATTTGCGCCTGGTTTTTATGAGTTTGGTACTCACCTGGAAAGCTGCCTCAGGACCCCATTAGAGGTCTGCTTCTCACGTCAACCCTTACTCTGTTCTTGGTCTGTTTACCTAAAGAAAAATGTTCAGCCAACATTTCCCTTCCTATGGAAGTCCTCCCTGCTCTCTTTATGGAAAGCAGCTGTCTTCTCCACCTCTGGCTTTTATTTTACTAGATTTATTAATCATTTTGGAGATGAGATATCTAAAAGTTAGTTGCCTAAGTCTAAACCAGACTCTGGGCTCCCTTTATAGTCAATGGAGAGACATGGGTGCTGCCAGAAGGGAAACTCATCTAATGTAGACAGGTGATTTATGGCCCATGCAGATGTTTGTTTCTGCAGTAGATGTTGATGCTGCTCTTTGGGGGACTCAAATATTACAGTCCATCGTTGCTCATGGGGATGTGCAAACAGGCTAATCACACAGATCCTAACATGTGTTGGTTGTACACACCAGATTAAGGCTGTCTCTGCTTTGTTGGGAAGGTTTGATGTGTCCCAGACAGGTGTACTCACACCAGCTCAGGTCACAGCAAAGGGAGACCCAGTGGCGTGCATCTTGATGGGGGCTGTGTCATGCCCTGCTGACATGTACAACATGTGCTGAGCCCTTTGCTGCCACATCCCCATTGCATGGTTTGCTGAGCTGGCTGGATCAGCACTAGCTTGACAGTATGTGCCTATGTTGCAAGACATTTATGACATAGTGAGAGCCTAAAACCATCCCTGAGAGGCTAGAGGATGTCACTTTATGCTGCTGAAGTGGAATGAAAGAATGAACAGGACTGAGACGGTAATGGAGTGATGTATCTGCCAAAAGGATTTTCACCATGTCCATCACAGCAGCTATGCAGACACCTGGCCAGCAAAGTAGGAATGTGTTGAATGCCGGTGAGAAAAGGCAGCAAATAGCCATTATAAATTAGCAGCTTGGGGAAAATCAGCCTTGGGGGAAGCTGCCTGGAGAGCAGCACAGAGTCTGTTCAGCCCTGTGTTATTAATAACCTGCACAGGAGGGGGGCAATTAGCAGGAGAAACTCATTGATGAGAAAAACAATTTCAGTCAGTAAAGAGCAGAGATGCTAGTGAGAAGCCTGAAGGAGGCTCAGGAAAACAGAGGGTTGGGCAACAGGGTGTTAAATGCAGTTAAATGGAGAATATGCCAGAGGCAGAGAGATGCTGGGAGCGGGTGGCTCAAGCCTGACTGCATCACGGTTCAGAGGGTAGAGGCTGGTCCCTGCAGCAGTCGCATGTATGTTGCCCACTGCTTGACCTGACCTCTTAGTGGCAGATGTCAACCCTCCCCTCTGCTACATACTCAAGTCACAAAGATGTTCTCACAGTAATTTTGTTCTGTGTTTTCCTCTCAGGTCCAGGAGTCCAAGGTGACAGAAACCAAGATTAACGAGGCCAGAGAGCACTACAGGCCTGCCGCCGCGAGGGCCTCTCTGCTGTATTTCACCATGAACGACCTCCACACCGTCCATCCCATGTACCAGTTCTCTCTGAAGGTACTGTCCGCATGAGCTGTGGGCTGTGTTGATGGCTGCGGGAGGCAGTGCCCCTGCTTCTCGCTTTTACTGAGGTTCAAAGTCATCATCTTGGGCCTCCTGGGGATATTTGAACTCCCAGACAAAAAAGTGATCTAACCTAAACCATTCTGCTGATTAGGTTTTATGGAAATGATGTGATTTATTTCTTTATATATCTACTTAACATACATTACTCTTAACTTGTGTTACGATAGTGTTTAGGGCTCATGGGGAAAGATTTGTCCAAAATGCTGGGTTTATCATGTTAATTGCTGCCCTTGGTGGAAGGAGCAGAGTTTCAGCAGCATCTGCAAAGACTCAGTGAGGAGTGGTCTGAATGCCAGATGAAAAGGTCCCTCTGTGTTGAGTACTGAGTGGGGGCCAGGGTTCCTACTCAGCTCTGAATTTGTCAGTCAGCCCACTGCAAGTGGTCAGACTGGGTTCAGGTTAGATTAGCCTTAGTTAGCTTTTCTTTCTTCTGCTTGGTTTCTTTCTAAGCAGCTGAAATCTTGTGGAAAGACAGTCTGACTTAGCGATGCATTAACATTCTTTATTACTAAAAATCCAGGAAGTTTCTTTGCAAAGCAGAACCTTACAAGCATTTGTTCTTCTGTATTCACAGCCTTGGCCTGGCAAAACAAAATGAGCAATGGATTTAAAAGATATCATATGGGGAAAGAGCCAACAAAGTACTTTTTTCTATGTATTTTATATATTTATGCACGGAGATTTTGCACAGCATTTGGAGTTATTTATTCTATCAGTTCATCTTTTCTTTATATTTACATTAGTTCTGTATCTGTGATGTTGTCAGGGTCATAATGCCTGTCCAGATATTTCATAAGTTCATGGGAATTGCCGCAGCCCTTAAAAATGATCCAAGACGTTGATGTTGAAACAGTCCTGACTTCCCATATGACACAGTATTAAAACATCACATCACTCTCTAAACACAATCCTGTCCCACCAAGACCACATCACCAGGGATTTATTGCCATTTTCTCTACAAAAAGCAACTTGTTTCTACTTCCTTCTCTACAACACAAGGGTCCCAAGCAGCTGGGCTTTCAGGAGCTTGGATGCTTCCTATGTTAGAGTTACAAACACGTTTCAGGTAGTCAACAGCATGGTGTGAAATCTAACTTTGGGTTCGCATCTGTGTACAGTTGGTGTGAAGGAATAGGTAGTATATGCATGACTTGAACGTTCATTGCCTTTTGGTATGGGCCTGCACACACACTTACCTACAGTCTGAAGGAATCCTCTGGACAGCTGTGTTTTTGCTCTTCTCACAATGTTGTGTGACCGTCAGACAGACAAGCAAGCCTACAGCCTAAAATGTCTTAAGATTAGAAGTCCAGATGGGATTTATGGATGTATTATCACTTTGCAGTGTGGCCGCTGGCAGTCTCAGCTACAGGCATGCTTGTGATGGGAGTATGAATGTCCCAATGGGGACCATGCTGGGAAAGAGACTGTTTCTTGCCCTGTACTCCTAAAATAAACATAGAAGACACATAACCAAAGGGTCTGTGTTCCAAAGGCCTTGCTACTTTTCTGTCTTGTCTAAATAGACTACCCTTCCCTGCATAGCAAGTGTAGCGCCTTAGTACATGGACATGTTACATGGAGAACTAGGAATGATGTCCCTCCTTTGGAGAAAATTCACACCTGGAGCTGTTCTCACCAGAACACCTGGAAAACATTGCCAACATAACACTTTGATTTCAATGTAATTGCTACTCATAGTGATGGGGCTGAACCATCCCACTTTTCATGTGGCAGCAGAGCCCAGTGGGAAGTCAGTAGCTTTTGTGGGAATGAAAGCATAGCCAAGTTTTCCAAGTTTCTTGATGATCTTTGAGATACCAGTGCTTCTCTTCATGGTAGGTGTGCATAGACTGACACTCCACTTGCCACAATGGAAGAGCTAGATCTTTAGAACAAAATATATGACCAGTAGTGAATTCATTGTTCATGTCTTTGTTTCATGTTTGGGCATCGCTTAATCAGTTGTTTTCTGTTCCTTGACTGGTAGGAAGTGGGGTTTCTTTCAAGCCATCCCCTCTATCTTTGAAACTGCTTAGACAGAGGTCCCTTCTTTCTGTGCTCTGCATATGCTGCCCAAGAAACTGGGCAAGTCTTGGTCCCTGAGCAGCTACTAAGGACCTGCTGCAGTAAAACTGAAAGTGCAGACAATCCCTTGCCTTGGCAGAGTAGTCTCAACAGGTCTGATCATACAGACCTAAGGGCCTTTCGGGGTATTTATCGAAGAGTTCTGATTTTAATGTTTTAATAAATGGAAGACCTGTTCTATCACCTGGAAAAAGTAATTAAGAAGAGAATAAATATTTTGAGCCTCATCCATAAAGAAGCTTTTCTTTTGATATCCATGACTCATATGTTGAAATAATTTACCAGGAAAATGTACAGAATATCTTTTGTGCAAGGGTGCCCTTTGAAAGATTACCTTACACATACATAATAGGTACAAGAGTTTCTGAGGTTTCACTTTTAGTCTAAATCTTCTGTATTCTGTTTGTTTTATGTTTTCCAGTTAACATTAGCAAATTGTATAAATACATAGAAAATTACTGGGTGAAATATTTTTTTCTAATAAATTTTGATGACAGATCATAAAACATTGTGTAAAGATGCACAGAGATGATTTTAAAATACTTACTACACATTTAGAATCCCATTATAAATTAGAGCACACAAGATTTATGTGCTACTCTGCAGCATGTTTTAACAAAATTTAAAGAAATGTTAAGCAGGAAAAAGCATTCTGCAATTATTTAATAATGTAGTAGGTATCAATGTTACTTTAATTTGTTGAGGCATCATTTTTCCTTTGTAGAACCCTAAAAATAATGCTGCCAACACAGTCATCCCTCATCCAGTTGATGTTATTAATTTGTATTGGCCTGGTTATCTCCTATTAGCTGGGTCTTAGTGTATGGAGCCTTTGCATTGCTAATCAGGACGTCATCATTTTTTTCTTTTTCTTTTTCCAGTTGTGTTTGATAATTTGCTAATGAGTTTTCCTTGGACGGCTCTGAAAGTTTTTTGTGTTTTCTCATTTAGATCAGAAATGTTGTTACAAGAATCCTTAGTATCTCATATAAAAGCATCATTCTTGATGCATACACCCATCACCAAGGGGACTTTACTGACTGGTTAATACCCCTTCCACAAGATTAAGTTCTACCTGCCCTTCTCATCTAGCCCTTTGCTGAATCCAGACAGTAAAATACTCACGGGACTCTTTCATTTAGGGAAATTACTTTTTTCTATATTGAAATATTTCTGAAATGAGAGGTATGCTTTCCTCTGGGAACACCATCTTTCGGCTCAACATTTGCAAAGAAAGTGGACTGTGTAATCCTTATGAAAGAACACATTTGGTCAGAGAAATATTTCCTATATCCATTTTGTCTTAATTCAGTCAGTCTGTCTCTGTACTACTTTCTCAAACCCAAGAGAGTGTAATGTCACAGGGAATGTCATCATTGCCTGGGTGTATGTTTCTGAAAAAGCAGCTAAAGGCAGATAAGGGTTTGAACTCCAGATGTATTTCCTTGCCTCCTGGAGCTGGTGGACCACACTGCTGGGTAGATGGGAATGCTTTGTTTGTGGTCCCAGAAATACAGTATCTGAGTTGGCTTCATGTATTGCAACACTTCAGGTGATAACCAGGAGCATGCGAAGAGCATCTAAAAAACACCGGTGTCCTTCTGTGTCTCACCACCTAGGCATTTAGCATCGTGTTTCAGAAAGCCATTGAGAGGGCACCTCCAGATGAGAGCCTTGCAGCACGTGTGCTGAACCTCATTGACAGCATTACCTTCTCCGTCTTCCAGTACACAACCAGAGGGCTATTTGAGTGTGATAAATTGACCTACACCACTCAAGTTACCTTCCAGGTAAACATCACCATTTCATGCAATTTGTATATAATGATTTATTTTACAGGCAAAGATATTGGCATGTAGAGAAAGCTCAAACTGTCACTGCTGCAGCCTTCAGAATCAGAGCAGCAAACACAAGGGCTGGGGAACTGATTTTCTTCTCTGCCTCTCTTGCTGATAGCAGTCACAGATGCTGTGCTTGATTTACATTATACTGACAAATGGTTGTTTGAGAGAGTAATACCTGCTTGCAGGAGCTGAAAAAAGGGGCAAAGCAAGCTGGTCATGAAGGCTTATTGATTTTATCCAAAAGAAATGCTTGCTACATAGCTGCTATCTTTTGTCTAGAAGGTTAGTATAATTTTTAGTCTATGATCTCAGCAAGGAGATCTTTGTCTATTCCTATGTGGAAATCAAATTCAATCAATAAATACTGTTTGGCATGATGCTGTGAAGTTGTTATTATGTTTGTGCAGTGAATGACTGTGTAAATGCCCTGACATGTAGACTGCAGATATCAACCAAATCTGAACTGCTGAAACACCATACAAGTCTAGTTAACCTTAGTCCAATGGTTGCCATGATTTTTATAATTGTACATAACAAAATACTGTGTGTAAAAGGGAAAGTATGTATCTATATATACACACATATAGACACATACATTAAAAAATGGACTCTAAAAATACGTTTTGTTAATAAATTGTCTGTGTGTAAAAAGTCAGCTCATATTTTGCAATGTTAGCCTTAATTCTGACCCAAAGGATACCTACATTTTCTAATATGTATCTCTAAATAAAGTATTTAAGTAGCATACATTATGCTTCTAACTACACTAAGCATTAAAAATAGTTAATGAGTCACTTTAAGCTGTCAGGAAAACCAGCATCCACAATTTCAGTGTGTGAAGGCAGTTGAGTAATCCTCATTCCATCCACAGGATTCCCCCATAGAAAAAAGCAGTTGGTGCTTGAACCGAGACCCAATCATCATCATCATTGGTGGAACAAGTGCCAGGCACACTTCAGATGCCATTGCCCAGTAGGCAATAATGACATACAGTCTAGGATCTGTGTCAAGGAAATGACAAATCCACCACTCCAGTACTGTTCTTTTCCCACCCAGAACTGATGTTCAAAGTTTTGGAGTCTGTGTCTGAGATTTCAGAAGTCTGGCAGTGCACTTGGAGCAGTAGCTCCAGATAGGCTCAAAGCACCTACACGGTATGTCTCATCACACCCCTCCAACATGGGACATTGTGAATTTTTTAGCCACACATTTGGCAGTTACATGAGTTGAAGAATTAATCTGATAGAATATATTGTTGCTCTGTATCCTGGCTGCTCAAGGACATCTCGTTTGTATGGAATTACAGATACTTCTGATGAATAAAGAAATCAACACAGTAGAACTGGATTTCTTACTAAGATACCCAGCACAGACCAGAGTCACAAGCCCTGTGGAGTTCCTGTCTAATCACTCCTGGGGAGGAATCAAGGTATGTACTTCATCTGAACTATGTGAAATCAGCATCCCATATCTCCTCTAAAAGCCTTTCAGCAGCCTTCAGGTTGGTCCTTGTAGCATTAGGTGAACGAAGTTCTGACCATACATGAGACGTAGCACAGAAATGGAGAGTTCTGTAGGTACAAGACTGACTTTGAGGGCTTTTCATGACTGTACTCCTGAGGATCTGTGTGTCCCTAAGCAGCTGATTTTTCCCTCTGAGATTTAGACTTCTGTCTCTGTAAGACAGGAAGGAGAATAATGTCTGTTTTTTGTGGTTATAGATTGCTAAGGACATGGAGATCTTCACTGTATTTGAAAGGAGGTGGGAATTTAAGGTAGATATGACCATCTGCAGATATGTCCTGGGCATAGAATAGTGACAGCTGACAGACCTTCTGCAGAAAAACACTGTCATGGCAATGATGGCAATGAGAATGTCTAACAGCTGCCATGTATTTGGAGTGAGTGGTGAGGAAGGGCATCCCAAAATGGTGTGAGTTATCCCATCTTTGCTCCTATTTGTCAACAAATGTGAATTGTGTTGGATTGGACCTGATTCAGCAAGTAGTGATTTGTTTTCTGGAAGGGGCCAAACTGTTCTTCAAGTTAGGCATGCTCCTTCACACCTTCTTGGATCTGAGATTGTATCTTTTATTCTATTGTGGCTACTGATCAGTCTCTGGCACCTGCTGTGATTTAAGAATCAATTTTATTTATAGCATGCTGTCTTTGTGGGACAGTTCTCTGATGCTGTGAAGTAGAGGGTGAAGACATTCTGGTTTCATTGCAACGGTTCTCAATTTTTCATCTGGGACATGGGGTTTTCCCTTTCTCTCCCTTCCACCATACTGCATAGAGAATGTATCTGGTTCCTGGAGAGTGATCAGACAAAATACCTTCATCCAGGCCTAAGACATCTCTGATATTCTTTTCCTGTTTGTATCATTTTGTGAGGCTTTCCAGAGTTTTGCAGGAGCCTTGGCTTATGGTGCCACATGCCTGTCTAGGCTGTGCCTTACTTGGTAAACGCTATCTTTTAAGGTAACACAGTGTTAGAACTCCTAAGTTTCAGGCTGAGGTTCAGAAGTCCAGTGAAGCTGATGTTTCTAACCCAGGTCACCCATAGTGGTTTCAAATGGTAACATGGAACAATTCGTGCCATATGTGTCTGTCCTGGCCAGGAGTTATCATCTCCATCTCCCTCACTGGCAGTGAGAACGGGGCCTCCACCTCATTCTGCACACGCACACATAGCTCATGTTGAAAATGTCACAATCATATTTTCAATCATAAAATAAACTTGGAACTTCTCACTAAATCAGCCCTGTTCATCCTCTAAAAGGCATATTTCCATAATAATGAGGAATTAAAAAAAATTCCACACCTTTTCTTTAATCTTTCCTTCAGTGGTAGTGTTTTGCTTTTCAGACAACAGCAGTTTTATTTTTGTTTCTCCTTTGAAGACAAATTAAATGGACACTTAGGGTCAATATACATAATAAGCAGAACTTAGCCATCAAGCTGATGAAATACATGCTTTGCAACAGCTTGTTTTGTCTTTGGGCTGTGCTGTCTGTATAGATTATAGAGGTATATACATAATATTGCTTGAAATCCCAGGTTTTCTTAACTCTGTTCTGTCCCTGTCTATGTTTGGCGTGTGGATATATAGGGTGAATGGTGCATTTCGGTTCCTCTGGAGTCCTTCTGGCTTGGCCATCTTCACTGCTTGCGAATGTTCTGCAGCGCAAAGCTTCTCTCTACTTCATTCCTCTAAGTTTCCTCTGGAAGGTGAGCTTCCTTCCACCATAGCTTTTGGAGGTGTCGGGCTCTGATTCTTATTTTGGAGATCCTTTTATGCATCTTAGGAAACATACTACCTTTGTAATGCCCAACGATGCTTTTGGTAGTCCCGCCTGCAGGTGGTACATTCTCCAAGCAGATACTTTCTAAGTTTGCAGTGAGTTTTGTTTGTGAGATAATCCCTTCTGTGCTTGTCAGTTCCATTCAATGTGGGTGAAATGGCCTTTCATGTTTCCTGTGTGCTTCATCATGATTGTTGCAACTGTCTTACTACTGTGATGAAGTTGGTACAGTTGCCAGCTCAGGGTCATGCATGCCAGAAGGAACATCAACTCTCAGTCATTCATTCTTCAGATTTTATTCTCGCATCACTGTTCAACATATCCAGGAGAAGAGGAATTTCTGTGCATAGAATGTCAAAGTACATAGCATACTCTGTCAGAGCCTACTGTGAGACCAGCAGTAAAGAATTTCTACTCATCAGAGCTTGGAATCAGGATTGGAAGGGATCCCTGGAGATCATCTTGTCCAACTCCCCACCAAAGCAGGTTCACCTACAGCAAGCTGCACAGGATCACGTCCAGGCAGGTTTTGAATATTTCCAGAGAAGGAGACTCCATAGCTTCTCTGGATGACCTGTCCCAGTGCTCTACCACCCTCAAAGTACAGAAGTTCTTCCTCATATTAAGATGAAACTTCCTGTCTTTCAGTTTGTGTCTGTTGACCCTTAACCTGTCACTGTACACCACTGAAAAGAGTCTGCTCCCATTCTCTGACATCCACCCTTAAAGTATTTGTAAGTATTGACGAGATTGCCTCTCAGTCTTCTCTTCTCCAGGCTGAACAGACCCAGTTTCCTCAACCTTTCCTCATCAGGGAGATGTTCCAGTCCCCTCATCATCTTTGTCACCCTCCGTTGGACTCTCTCCAGTAATCTCTCAGTGGAGTCATTGAACAAGGTCTTCCCCCCTTCCATCAACTACGTGCCCAAACTTCATCCCCACCAGCAGCCTGCACTCTGTGATCCCTTGATCATCCAAAACTGATGCAGTGTTGGGTGTTTATCCTGTAGTCATTGTGTGCATGGAGTAGCTGGAGACTTATACTGAGGCAGGCAGGACTTGAGAGTGGACTGCCACCTGAAGTTGCTTTGCAATAACAGATTCTCTTTGAGATGAGCCGTTCCCACTCAGCTTCCTCTGTCCCATTGAGTCTCTTGGGGTTTGTAGTTGAGATGAAAAGTAGGTGATGCCAAGAACTGCTGCTCTGCATTTACCCTTTGACTAAGCAGTGAGATGGCAGGATGTAAATATGTCTAAATGTGCTGCACACATCAGGTGTCTTCAGCCTCAGCATGCATTCACTGTCCACATGAACTGCACATCTCCAAGAGCTGCAGTCACTAGTCAATAATCTGTACTAGTTTAACGTATTTCAGGATTTTCAGGTAGTGAATTCTATGTTATCAAATACTGAATACTCTTCAGATTGTCTTTTGTGATGATAGTAGTATCGATTTTGCTATAAATAATATAGCTGCTGTCAACTTTATTAGTGTTTATGTTCTATTAATATATGTTGGTTTATTAGCCTTTGAGTTTTTGGCAACTCCAGTTACTTGAAGCATGGTTTTAGTACAATCACATTTTGTCACAGACTGCTATAATTAGGTTAATTAGTCATGGCTTCTACACAGCTTATTAGCAGACTAAACTTTCCTTTATTTTCATCAGGAAGATTAAGTGCTGTAATAAATTGTTTCTTCAATAAAGCTTGAGCAAAGTGTGTTTCAGATTCATATTTCAAATTCGAAGTGGAATTTAGCATTCTGCTAATATTTCACAGAAACATTGAAAATACCCCTACACAAAGTGCTCCTATTGCCAGAGGTTTCAGGCCAATATAGTAGTGCCAAAAGAAATCAATATTGGTATTTGTGGCTCATTCTGTGCCTCCCATTTTGGGCACATTAACTTCAAAGGAGACCTCATTAAATGTTGAGAACTCTGGGCATGCATATAGCCTTATGTGACTTGGCTTATTATTTATTGTTGTTGTTTGATTAATAATATATATAGGCTAATAGTCTTTTGCACTTGTGCAGCTGTTTTTAGCTTATGCTGGAGCATCTGACACACGTTTATGATTTAGTCTGCCACCTTCTTTTAAGTTCAGTAAAAAGTTTCACAGAGCTTTTCGCTGTAACGTGGATGCCAGGGAGGCTGAATATTTACCACTGAATGAAGAAACCCATGTACCTGTCCAGAAGGGTATGGTTTGTAGGGAAGGGTAATATCTTTTATTAGATCTGCTGATAGACTTGGAAAAAACGGATACGTTTCAGACTTTTTAGTGCTTCTTTAAGCCTGAAACAGGAACTGAATTCAAACTAAGTACAGGTTGAGAAATCTGCTCTGAGCTATCTCGATTCTATTCACCAGTCAGCCTATATGTGAGAAAAAGTAGTACCTGAGGAGACCCTGCAGAGGGACATTAGTTAGCTGGGGAGCAAGAGGAGATGTTATCAAAGGACACAGCCATTTACCTCAGTGCAAATATTGCCTCTGGGTCATTGAAGGGTTAGTTAAGAGCAGGAAGGGGAGAAAATTGTATCATTTAATGAAAGTAGTACCTTTGCTGAGTCCCTGGCTCTGGTGTTCAATAGAGTTGGTTATTTCAGTTCTAAGGCCTGTCTTTTGCAGGTTCTTAATAGTGATCTCTTGAGAAGTCAAAAGGATTCTTTTACTCTTAATGAGGTTTTCTGTCTTATTTCGATTTCCTTTATTTCAGTATGTTACACTTTTGTCACCCTCTGTGTTCCCAGTACCTAGCTTGAAAGTTTTTATTTCTGTTGGTACTTCTGATAAGTATTTCGTGTGCATGCAAGGTTGTCCATTTCTCCTGACTTGGCTGTTGGTTACCTTACCAATAAATGTTTGGACACACCTTAGACCACAAAGGTACAATGATGCCACTACTTGAACTGCACAGGACATCAGACCACAGCCATGTGCAAGTGATCATTTTGATATTCTTGTTGTGTGATTGAACTTAACATAGACTCACTGTAGAGATTGTCCTCTGTGGGTTTTTGCCCCATTTTTTTCTTCTTTCCTTCACTGGAAGGTCTCCAGTGTCTTAAGATGAAGATGTTGGTACCTAGATGGGAGGTGAGTATTCTCTGGA